GAATATGAAAGAGAGATAAGTAAAGTAATTTAGGGAAGTGTCATCCTCAAAAATTCTGGATTACAGTCGAGCACGCCATGTCGCCGAAAGTTCTGTTGAGTAACCAATAGCCTCGGTGAAGGATGGCCTCGATGGGTCACTAAATCGCGTAGTGTGAGAAGCACAAAGGACTGTTTTCTGCTGTATAGTCCTCTATATGAGTGAAAAGACTCAAGGCGACGGATTACCTTTTCCAGAATTCTCAAGCTTTTCTCTAGGCCTGAGCGTATTTGCGGAACACTGCTGAAGAATAATCATGGGTTCTCTAGAAGATAAACGGGCTTTATATGTGTTGGGTCGGTTGGATTCGTTTTTGTGTGGGGTTCGTGTATAACCTGCCCGCTTACCAGACAACGACATCGCTTAAAATGAAATAAAATAAATCTAAGTAGTTGCTAGAACTTCGGAGAAAAATGGGAGCACTTTTAATCCACAAATAATGGACAGTCCCTTTCCGATCAGATCGGGTAATACTTGTCGAGCGGCCTACCAAACAGCGGGTTTCATATTGCTGTGTCTAATCAGAGGTCCAGGGCGTGAAGTTGTGTTGCAAAGTGTGCACGCTGTGACACGAGTCATCCGAGGGATCATATATCCTGAGTCGTGAGTCGCCGGCCATAACCAAGCCTCCATAGCTCCGGGGTCGGTTAGGTGGTACCAGACTTGTCTGGGAGATAAAAAAAACACTGACTTGTACATCGGCTGGCCCCCGCAAGTCATTGTATAGGCCACATCGCATTCAAACGCCACTACGAATGTACAAATGGAAGTAGAATGCGTGCCGCATCCCAAAAGGGATTGATCAACGGCAAATGCTTTATCCTTTATCCTTAATCCTACTGTATAAGATTACTCACTATCGTATTGGATTATGCAATTGTAGTTTGCAAAAAATTCAGTTATCAGTATGGATCTTAAGTAAGGCTGTGTGAGGGCAGCAGTCTCGAAATGGTATGGAAAACGGAATGCCAAAGAAGAGCGAGTTTATTTACTGTGTCTAATGCGAAGATCCATGTAAACGCTGCTGGCGTAAAATGGAACGCACTACGGAACGTGCTTTTCCAGATATTTAAATATTTCCTAATCTTCATTAGACGTCTCTGGCGTCGAATGACCAAGCTGTGGAAATGGAAGGTAGGCAGAAATTGAACTAATGAAGCATGCCAGCGGTGAGCAGCGCTTCCACCCATCGAGCCTCCTGATCGTCGGGAGGTAATTCCTGCTCCTTGAACCTGTTCGGTTGACGAAATCGGAAACGAAAAATGACGTACCTCGGCCTCCAGGGGCCGAACTTATGTCGCTGAAACCAAAGTTCCTACGAGGTGGGTCAGCTTGGTGAAATGCTTGTATTTATGAAGAAGATAATGACACCATTTTCCTGGGAATGGGGGAATGTTCCATAAAATTTGAAAGATCTTGAAAATTCCTGATTTTTGCCATTGACGCTCGTCGAATTTCGTCTATCGCTGCAGCTAAAAACGCTGCCGCAGAAGGGGGACGCTTTCGACGGAACTGGTAGGAACAGAGACCATTTCCCTGTTCCATAATACCTATGCTCAGATGGGGCTCGTACGTGCTTTCCTATGCTAGCCGTACTGGGAACCTGAAATCAGCCCAACGCAACGGTTAACTCAGCTTCGTCTTCAAGGCTATTTAGTGTTTGGATAGTATGACACTTTCACGCTGTCGGATCTCATCTACGACTTCTGAACAGCGCACTTGCCCAAAAGGTCAGAGCAGCCGTTGATGGAGCTGGTAGGACCAGATACCCATCCGGTTTTCTTGGGTGACCTTACGTGACGTGCGAATGTGTTACGTAACCCGATGACCGTGTGCCGTGTCACGGATTGTCATAAGCGCTTTTTTCGGGCTTCGCTCGGTGTTGACCTCGAACCGTTGACGATGGCGATGCGGCGGGGCGGGCCGGCGATGTGGTGGTTGCCTGGATGATTCTCGAATACCATTCTGATTTCCCCGTTTCAAGGACATCAAATGGCAACATTGCAGTAATTTGCGCGAAATTACAGGCGCACTCCACAATTCGACGTGCCAGTCGAGATTACTGCGGTAAATCAAGTGCTGTGTGTAGAGTGGTCCCGACTGGAAATCACATCCCTGCCATAATGCAACACGTTGCTACAGTATGAGTTGGAATTTACGCTGCAGCCAGCAGTAGCGTGCTTTCTACGCTTCGAATACACAACAGTCACTACTGAAGACTAGTTGTTCTCTATTGTTCTCGTGGAAAAAACCGATGGAAAGGAAAAAGCGAAAAAGAAAAGAATGTGGATAGATCAGTGGAGATCACGGGTATGATACCATCTATTGTGCTGAGGATCGATAAAAAAGGACAGCTATTGACGTGATTCGCCCACCAACGACGATGGCGACGTTCAGTGCCTTTCTCCCTTTGATTCTTCTCTGTGGCAATTACTTCTCTACCACTCGATAACTTTGGGTGACTAAGGCGTCATAGTGTGCTTGCAGTGTCATTCTATTGTTTGACGATCGGTGTGAATTACACTCGACGCCTGGATAATTTGCCTTGGGGACCCTCCGTGGACAGTCCGGGCTCAACATAGTCCTTCTTACCTACGTGAGGCTTAAGATCATCCCACACATCATCATCAACGTGGGCGGAGTCGTGTCGAGTTTTTGCTGTTTCGACCGAGCGGTCATTAGTGCTACTGACCCACTGCCCTACTAACCTAGGCGGCAAGCATGAGCTCTGCTCGGGTCGAACTCTCGTCCACAAGTGTTGCAGTTGGAGCGATCATCATCAAGAAGGAGGAGATCTCGTCACCGACGACAATCCGAACCCCAGATGGCGACGAGAATCAGCGTATGTCTTCTTTTCTATTTAGCATCTGAAACACAAATATTGTGCGGAGGTCTTGCAACGAATCCCTTCTCTAACAAGACTGAACAGCTTTGGTGACTGCACTTAGACTCCTATAGAGATACTGTTCTAAGAAATTCAAAAAAGA